TTGCGCAGCACAGTCAGTTGACAAGCAACACAGGCGTCAAGGCGTCAGGGCGTGTAATCAGGCAACACAGGCAGCCACAGGTGGAAGTGTAGGCAAGTCGCCAGTTCCCAAGGCCGCGACCGAGTCTCTGCCTTTGAAGAAAATGACCGCAGTGGGAAGCCAGGCCTCCCTGAGCTTGAGACGTCCAGAAGCCTGGGGCGGCGAGAAGCGCCAGCTCTGCCGAATGCCCGGAGCCAAGGCCAAGATGGTCAGGCAAAAGGCCAGCCAACTGACGAAAGGATGGCACAAAGAAAAGCCAGCCTTCCTTGGGCCGGAGGGTGTTGATGGACCGATAGGCTACAAGGGACGCCGGAACGCCGAGGCGTGAACAACGAGGTGCCAACCGGAAACCAGGCCGAGAGCAACCAGTGTGCCCGGTCCCCCAGCAACAACAGCGGTCGCGACGACACCAGGTGCGGTCCGCTTCCCCCGAAGATCCAATGGGCAGCAAGCGACAAGGGGGCGAGAGCCGGCCCCGCGGCCATAAAACCGCTGGGCAGCTGGACCGCCAAGGTGGTGGCGCCTGGAGCAGCGGAGGAACGGCGCGCCGGCAGCGAAGCAGAGCGCCAAGCCGGACTGAGCGGCGAGCGCACTGGCGCCGGGCTGAACGCCGAGCGACACGGTCAGGGCAGCGCCTCGATAGGCCTTCCTGCAGGCCCTCCTGTGGCAATGGCGTCCGCGGCAACTGCAAGGTTCTGATTCCTCCCGATGGTGAGGGGGGTGGTCGGAGGGCCAACACACCTCCCGGGTCGTGGCTCGGTCGAGGGGTTGGGTGGTCTAGCAGTCGCAGTCCCAACTGGGAGGGAACGCTCTTATTAGGCCCTGGATGGAGACGGCCTTATTAGGCCCTAGCTGGAAAAGGCCTTGGCGTTCTACTTCCCTTCTCCTCCCATTTCCTATGCTCTCTATGCTCTCTATGCTCACTATGCTCTCTCCCTAACATCTCCTCAGTACAAAAGGGTGTTTCTAACTCATTCACTGTATTGGATTATTTCAGGTCACATGTCTCCACAAACCTATCAACCAATAGCCTTTCTTGTTTTCCTGTTAATTTTGCCATCCATCTGCACTTCCAAATATGCACAGGATGGATGACAGGTAATGTATGGATCAATGGTACAATGGCAGTGGGAAGGGGCTCCAACAGCTCTCTCCTCATCTTCATCATTCATCTTGCTTCCTCCATCAACCCAGAAGACCAGCACATTCTCTTGCAGGTGTGGATCCAGCCAGAATCATTGCACTATCTGGCCATCCAGCCTCTGTTTAAAAACTCCTAGCAAAAGAGACGGCATCTTCCACTGTTAAATAACTCTTATTGTCAGCAAGTTGTCTCCAACACTTAGGTGAAATCCTTTCCTGTAGTCTGAATCCATTCCTCTGTGTCTTCCCACGACCCTATTCTTCCTATCCTGACAATGACTCAAAGGAACAGAATCTTGGCCTTGATATTCTTTGGGGAAATCTAGAGCAACAATTATGATCTGTCTATAGAAGGTAGATAATTCATTTAACCAAAGCAGAATCTCTAATTCAATAATCTTTTAAATTATTACTGTTATTATCATGTAGATTTTATTTAATCAGAAGAAAAAAATCTGATTTAATGACAATCCAACAAGATTTGACATTTTACAGGCATGAGGAGCAGAAGCTGGAGGTGATCAGTCACCCAACTAGCTCCATCTTATTGACTCTGTCCTTTTTCAATTAAATGCCCTTAAGAATGAATTGGACTACAGGTTCTATCACTCCTGAGCTGTATCCTAGCACACTTGAAGATTATCAGTCTAGGCTAGGCTGGACTGACTGTAGAGAACAGGCAAAGATATTTCTAATACTTAAGAAATATACTTAAAATACTTAAGGTCATCCAGTCCAACTCCCTTCCTCGGGGCAAGAACACATAAAGTCCTCCTGACAAAGAGCCATCCAGCCATAGATATAGATAGATAGATAGACAGACAGATAGATAGATAGATAGATATGATTCACACACAGAGAGAGATATAGTATCATAGACTTGAAAGGGACCCCATAAAGAAGGACAATATGTTGCATAGGCCCGTAGTCAGGGGGGGCTGAGTTTGTTTCGGGGGGGCTGAGTCCGAGTGAAAGAGG